AGTAAGTTTGCAGATGACACCAAGCTAGGTGCGTGTGTCGATCTGCTCGAGGGTAGGAAGGCTCTGCAGGAGGATCTGGATAGGCTGCACCGATGGGCTGAGGTCAACTGCATGAAGTTCAACAAGGCCAAGTGCCGGGTCCTGCACCTGGGGCGCAATAACCCCAAGCAGAACTACAGGCTGGGAGAGGAATGGTTGGAGAGCTGCCAGGCAGAGAAGGACCTGGGAGTGATGGTGGACAGTCGGCTGAATATGAGCCAGCAGTGTGCTCAGGTGGCCAAGAAGGCCAACGGCATCCTGGCTTGTATCAGAAACAGTGTGACCAGCAGGGCTAGGGAGGTGATCGTCCCCCTGTACTCGGCTCTGGTGAGGCCGCACCTCGAGTACTGTGTTCAGTTTTGGGCCCCTCGCTACAAGAAGGACATCGAGGTGCTTGAGCGGGTCCAAAGAAGGGCGACGAAGATGGTGAGGGGCCTGGAGAGCAAGTCCTATGAGGAGCGGCTGAAGGAGCTGGGCTTGTTCAGCCTAGAGAAGAGGAGGCTCAGGGGTGACCTTATTGCTCTGTATAAGTACATTAAAGGAGGCTGTAGAGAGGTGGGGGTTGGCCTGTTCTCCCATGTGCCTGGTGACAGGACGAGGGGGAATGGGCTAAAGTTACGCCAGGGGAGTTTTAGGTTAGATGTTAGGAAGAATTTCTTTACTGAAAGGGTTGTGAGGCACTGGAACGGGCTGCCCAGGGAGGTGGTGGAGTCACCATCCCTGGAAGTCTTCAAAAGACGTTTAGATGTAGAGCTTAGGGATATGGTTTAGTGGGGACTGTTAGTGTTAGGTTAGAGGTTGGACTCGATGATCTTGAGGTCTCTTCCAACCTAGAAATTCTGTGATTCTGTGATTCTGTGATTCCAAGGGCAGCAAGAACATTGGATGAAATTCAGATGAAAAACATAGCTTTCAGGCATCTGTTATTTATCGGTTATTCATTAATGAGGTGCAGCCTCATGGTGGCCTGCAGCCTCCTTACGAGGGGAGCAGAGGGACAGGCACTGAGCTCTGCTCTCTGGGGACAGTGACAGGACCCGAGGGAATGGCATGGAGCCAGGACAGGGGAGGGTCGGGCACTGGGACAGACTTCCCAGGGCAGTGGTCACAGTCCCAAGCCTGCTGGAGTTCAAGAAGCATTTGGACAGCACTGTCAGACATAGGGTCTACCATTTGTTGAGTTTGCCTGTGGGGACCCAGGAGTTGGACTCAATGATCCTTGTGGGTCACTTCCAACCAGGTATATTCTATGATTCTGTAAAAATTCTTTTCATATCTGTAAGATTTAAGTTCATTTTTTTTTCTCAATTTATCTGAAAATAAAATACAGGAGTAACACAGATACTCAAACAAATGGAATTGCTCTGTGATCAGTTAAGATCCATAGTGTAGAGGCTACAGGTCCTTCCACAAAAAGCAAATAAAAAGCATGGAGAGGTGAGGTACTTGAAATCAGTAAACTACTTTTTTGTTGTTGTTTGGTTTTGCCTTTTTTTTTTTTTTTTTTTTTTAAATACAGACTACTCAACCTATTCTAAGAACAATTTTGTTCGTTCCATTTTAAAGAAAAGGGTGAATATAGTAAATAAGACAATCTCTCTACATCCAGTTTGTGTTAACAAAGATACAGAGTGCAATTTTCTGCTCAAAGTTTAATTACTTTCTGTAGCTCAAGTACCATCATTGTAAAATTCCATCTACAGTGAAAAGTATTTCAAAGTAAAAAAATTACTTCAATGTTGTCATGTCACCAAGGGAATTGTTAGTTTTGGTTTACAGTACAATTGACTGATTCTGAATTTTATTTTAAGCTGAACTTTAAATTGGTTAACCTTAACAGAAAAGAAAGAACTCACTTGTGTAGAAGGTAAAACGTTTCACAAGCATTACTGTCCTTATTGTCATTATTTTTCTTTTCTGCTATGTTTTCTTATCTTCCAGTTATTCTGTGTATTGAGGCTAGAAGTTTGGGGTTTTGTGTTATCAAAGCGCATGATTTAGACATCAAAACTTGTAAGTTGGTCACTGTAAAAATACCTTATGACCTCTATAAACAATCTGCTTCATTTGGAAAAGTATCAGAACCTCAACAAAGCAATGGCATTTGTGAAAATCATTGCTAATGAATGTATTAATAATGTGGTATGACAAGAATTTATAAGATTAAGTATTCATATTCCTATTACAATGTTAAGGACCTAAACTTGCTGTGTCATAATATGTCTAAGATCCTTAAAGAAATAATCTTGCTTTGGTATGATGTGAAGTGAGTTTTGATTGATGTGAATTTCTGCTACTTAAATAGAGCTATTTCTCAGATTGTGAAAAATATATGGAATTTTTAGGCAACTACATTCTTCCTGGCTTGCATAAATATTGCCTGTGATGCTGAAACCTTTTACTTTTGATTATTTTCTCTTCAGGAAATAGAGAATACAAATGAAAAAGGGGAAAAAAATATGAGTATACACTATGGACCAGATAAAGATTTAGATTATTTATTTGAAAGATGTGTTTTATATTTCAGTCAGTTGTGTCTAAAGCAATTTGTTTTTATAGAAGATTTCTTGAGGCCATCTCTGTTCATAGTAAAGAACATCCCTTAAAAACTTAAATAATATTTTAGTAGGATGTCCCAGAATAATGGTCTGCGTTTTCAGTATAGTTACTTTTCTTACTTAGAAATTACTAATTTGTTGTTTTTACTCTATACGGATAACCCTGAAGATTCAAATTGAGGAAAATGCCAACCCCTTGAGAAATTAGCCCACACATTACCAATACAGACTGGAAAAAATATTTATTCTCATGGAGTGAGGGCCATAGTAGCCTCACCAGATGCCAGAAGTATAGGAACATGTTGAATTATACTAGTTTTTAGAGTCGCTGTAAAACATTTTTTTTATTTTTGCAGAACAAGAGGTTCTTCAATATTAGAACCACAGTACTTTAATTAGATTTTAAGGCAAGTAGATGACTATGCCTAACGTTAATCATCTTCATAATCACATACTTGCAGTAATGAATTACAAAATGTTTATAATACTGCAGTCAAATCCGTACTAAAAGCCTGGTTGTTTTTTTTTGTTTGTTTGTTTGTTTGTTTGTTTGTTTGTTTCCATGAGAACAGCCTCAGACCATTTGAGCCATTTTTTCCTTTATTTCAGGGAAATCTTTTCTTTCTTGTAGGCTCAGCATCATCATTAGGCTGCCATCACTAAATGTAAAATTTTAGGTTTCAGGGCACTCTGTTTTTTTGGACCAGAAGTCCTACCAGAGCAAACATGATGTGTGGTAGCATCCTAAATACTGAGTATTGTTGCTGACTGCTGTTGCTGATTTCATTATGACTTTTTTTCTAACTGGCCAAAGGGCACCTGCTATTTTTTCATTACTTGTAGTAATGGAAGTTAATATAGTTATTTATAGTGACTAGAAGCTTTGAACCAAGTTGGGGTCTCTGTAAATTCTAGACAACAGAAATTGAGAGATAATCCCTATTGGAAGGGCTTTCAATCTAAGCCCTGGAATCTGCAGACATTCTGGCATGTCGTGTAATTAGGTTACTTCTCTTGATTTAGTCCCAAATTTCTCTGTGATAAACTTTGGTAATTGGCCCATTACTCTGGGTTTGTTCAGCCTGGAGTAGGCCCTGGGGAGGCCTCATGGGAGGCCTTCCAGTACCTACAGGGGGCCTACTGGGAAGCCGAAGAGGGAGCCTGTCAGGGGTTGTAGTGACAGGACAAGGGGGAATGGTTTTACACTAGAAGAGGGGAGATTTAGATGAGATGTTAGGAGGGAATTCTTCACTCAGAGGGTTGTGAGGCACTGAACAGGCTGCCCAGAGAAGCTGTGGATGCCCCAGCCCTGGAGGCCAGCTTGGACGAGGCCCTGGACAACCTGACCTAGTGGGTGACATCCCTGCCCACGGCAGGGCTTGGAACTGGGTGGGCTTTAAGGTCCCTGCCAACCCAAACCATTTTGTGATTCTATCATTGGCCACTTTAAAATTTGTTGGATTAATCATGAGGGCACCTGAGTTTCTATAAAAAAGAAAGGTTAATGAAATATTTTAATATTGCAAAAGAACTTAGTCATGAAAATGGACAAATGATTTTGGCTACAGCTACCAAAGACAATAGCTTGAGTGTTCTGTTTGACTTGGGATATTTGAGTCCAAACGTGTGAAATTTAACAGGTTTAATAGCTAGTGAAAACACAGTTGGGGGGGGGGGGGGGGGGGAGGGGGGGAGGGCTGGGTGGAGGGGAAGGCATATTCTGGGCAAACTTAGTAAGAACTTTTTTAATAGCGAAGATTAAGATGCAGTTGTAACACAGTGCACTCTGCAGTGAGAAGTATGGTCAGCTGGCACCTCTCATCTTCAGTGGATACCAAAACGACCAGCATCTGGCAGATGTTTTCACAGTGCCCTTACGCAGCCGGCTGAGAAAGACCTACGGATTTCGGGGTGAATAACCCGTACTTTGAGCCTAGGTCTGTGCAGAACCATGTCAGCACCTCACCGCAAAGTCCTGCTGCCCGTCCTGTGGGCTGGCGACCCCCGCCCGCGCCGCTTCCATGTGTTTCAGGGCTGTAGCTCGGGCAGGGGGCGAAGAGAGCCGGGGGAACCGGTAAGGAATGGGGTTGACGCGCTGCTAACACTGGGTGCCGCCATCCGCCGGCGGGCGCCGTCCCGCCTCGTCCCACCCCGGCCCGCCGGGGGGCGCCGCTGCCCTCCGGCCCCGAGCCGCTGAGGGGAGCCCGGGGCGTGCTGGGAGCCGCCATTTTGTCGGCGTGCGCTGGGCGCCGGGCGCTTCCCGCAGCCGGGGAGGGTGAGGAGGGGCCGCGGCTCGGTGAGTCGGTGGCGGTGCCTCCGCGGCGCCGGGGCGGGGGCGCTCCGTCCCCGGGGGCCGGGGGGCTTGAGGGGTTAGCGGGAGTGGCTGCCGGGCCGGGCCGGGCCGGGGAGGCGTTGCCAGGGGAACGGGCGCACCCCCATCGCCTTGAGCACGGAGCCGGGCCGGGAGCTCCCGTCCCTGGTGCCGCCGGCCTCCGCGCGAGGCTCCCTGGGGAGGTTCCACGGTGGAGGCGCAGCGGGGGCCTGGGGGATATCGCCCTTGCAGTGGTGTTTGGTGGAAATTCTGTGTCAGCAGCGCCCGAGGGGACCGGACTCGAGTCTGTTCCCTTCCTGCTGGAACCTCTGGGTTTGTCGGAGTGCTCAGCCGCCGGGACCCTGTGGGCACACGGGGCCTGCTGGCCCCGGGTTGCGTTTTCGCAGAAAGAAGGGAGGCCGTGAGTTAACAGAGCAGGGGCAGGGCAGCCTGCCACACCGCGGCCTGATATAGCACCTCTTGGGAGAGCTAACATGGACGATAAGGTGCGACGTCCGCAAGTGATTTCCCTCTGCATAGAACAGAATACTATGTTTTTTTTTCACATAACTAACTAACATAAACATTTCTTATGCTAGCATACGCTTTTCCAATCTTTATGGGTTCTTTTGAACTTTGTCTCTCCTTCCCTACTTCTTTTTTTTTTTTTTTTTAATTTAATACCCATTTTAAGAATGTTTTTTCTGCTGCTTTCAAATAAAAATGCAGTTTTATTAAAGGTTTCTCTCAGGTATTTATTCTCTCAGGTCACTCTTTCAGTTGTAATTCAATCCAGTTCAAGCAGTTCTCTTTTGCCTAATGGTTGTTTATTTATGCCGATATATTTCTTTTTAATATTTGGTGTACTTTTATTTCTGTACTATTGTCTATCTCAGGCTTCTGTCTTCCTGATAGGAGCTGTATCATTGGGTGTAAGACCTAATTTTGGTCTTGATAATTTCTGTGCTTTTTAACTATCTTGTTAGGCTGCATTTGCTAAAAGCTGTATTTGCTCTTGAAGCTGCTTTTAGATATTTTTGCATATCTAAATCAATCTGTCAAATTATTTTTATCTAAAACCTTAACAAAGTCATGTAGGATATACATTAACTTAATGATTCTGTGTTATAAAGTCACTGAATAACAGAGAAGACAAACTCAGTCTTCAAAAGGTGAGTTTTCATGTGGTGGATTTGTTAATTAAGTTCTTATTTGGATATTTTTCATTTTCTTAAGCCGTTTTGCTACCTTGCAGTTTACTTTGGGACCCTTTTAAGAACACCTGACTTCTGTCCCTAGAAAACCAGGCAGCTACTTGTTGGTCGAGAAGGGCGAGGAAATGAGTTAATGATAATCCTGTACCTCCTCTGACCTTGCCCTTTGTAACCAGCAGCAAAAGTGAAAGAATTCCGATGTGGGCGTGGGGTTTTCTTGGTTTCTTTTTGACTGCTCCAGCTGATATGAGGCAGACTTGCATTTGTTATCAAAACAGTTAAAAAATGTGTGTTCATATCTAAGTTTCTGAATTACAAAGATGGATTTTGTTGCAGGCCTCTGCGTACCCATGATAGCAATTCTGTGCCTGATGCAGTCCTGCCCGGGTGGGCAAGGCAGCTGCAGGGAGCTGAAGAGTTTCAGAAAATCCAGTTTCTAGTCTGATGCAGAACTCTCTGAGGGAGAAGAGAAGGCTGGATCATTAGATCTTTTTTTGCTTGCTTACAGGCTTTCTTCTTTTTGCTGTCCTCTAATTTTTATTTCCAGGATTTTGTTTTATCTTCTTTGCATCTTTTGGAGTTTCCACAGTCTTATAACCCTTGCTACTTTCAGCAAAACATCTGCATTTCACACTTTCCCTTACCTTTGATTCTCTCAATTTTAAAATGTATTTTAACTTGGATTTCTTGCCCAAAACATGTAATTGTGAAATGATTTATTTGAATCATAGCCTCCTTAAACTATGCTGAAGGTTATATAGAAAGGAAAATTTTTAACCTTTGTATTTCTAGCAGCAAGAATGTAAATATTGGAATTTGTTGTAAAGATTGGTACGTAGTAGAGGTGCAACTAGTATCTGCTTTGATTAATGTATTCCTAAACTTGATTGATGATTGGGTACTAATTTCATAGGGGGATGCTATTGTATGTATTGTACCATTTCCATTTTATTTTTTTGTATCAGGAGTTAACAGTCTCCTGCAGCTTTTTATTTTGTCTAACAAGTGGTCTGTCCTGGGGAGTTGTAAGCCGGCATACTCCAAATGTGACTGTTGGAAGTCAGGCTCCAGAAGCAGATTTTTCTCCCCCTCTGGTTCAAATATGTAGTTGTGCAGGAAGGCTGAAGGTATGTGAAGACTGAAGGAGACATCACAAAACCTGAACTGGGTTGTCCTTCAGGGCTAGGAATCCTTAGGACTAGTTGCTGATGATTTTGAACAGCCCAAACTATGCTACAGAATATTTATTATTGCCTTTTCTATCCTTGATTGGTTATTGAGTTGATACCAGCAATCAGAAGTTTGCCCCCTCCGTGTGCTGCTGTGCTTCTGAGTGGGAGAGGAAGGGACAGAAGCTCAGTTCATGGGATGAGTTTCTGCACAGCTAATTTTGGGAACACTTCCTTTTATAGGAATGGGAATTGTGATACTGTATGAGTACAACTGAAGATTGTTACAAGAGAACTTGTGTGCCTCCTGTGTTAATTTTGGACTTGATGTCTATCCAAAAATCTTCTTTACTAGAGAGCAGGTTCTATTTTAAAACCTGCTTGATGGGATCTTTTCCCGAAGTTGAGAAGCCATCCTCAGCAAGCAGTGTTATTTCTGTTACATAAAGTGTAAAATGAAGTGGCACGTATCTTGTAGTCCACAGTCCTTCCCTGTCTGTGGAAACTTAACAGTTTCTTGTTAAATACAATGGTAAGCTGAGTGTTTTCAACAGGTGCAATTTTCATATTTCACTTTTGGTATGGTATTAGAATGAATCCCCAAGTCATCCCACCTTCCTAACAAACCTCACATGAAAGTACAGAGGATAATTTGAGAGAGATTCCAACTTAGAGGATGAGGGCTGTGTGAGTGTATGCACATATGTGTGTACAGCCCCGCATGCAGTAATGGTGAACCGTTTCCACTGCTGATGCCAGGAAGAATCGTGATGCTGTTGGTCTGTGAGCCTAAGCCCGAGCTGCCTGCCCTCCTGTGCTGTAGGAGGTCCCAGGCTCACTGCACTTCCCTCCTGCTACACTTTCTTTCCTTATGATCTGGAAGATTCAGCGGGTTTGCTGTGGCATTAATCACGTTATTTCAGCTAAAGTCACATCTTAATACGCCTCCTTGATGAAAGCTGCTCTCTTTTTTCAGTCTTTTCCTTCAATTATGAGTTTAAATGATTTGTAGCAAAGCAGTAAAAGCTTGTGATGCTGCAACCTGGAGCACAGATCATGCTCAAGAAGGGAGCTGCATCTGTCCCAGGGCACTGCAGTTTCTGCTTGGAAGTTTATGCTCTTCCATATTTATTTACTGTATTCCTGTTGACTGGATAATTTGGTTTCTTAACCAAAAGAGCAGTAGCTCAGCTTTCAGAGGTTATGTTTCTATACTAACACACTTTATAATCCCAGACTTATTTTTTTTTTCTCTGTATTTAACTCAGCTGCTTCTAAGTTGACAAAAGCAGCTTGTCATTTCCACTCTTAAGAGGGCTGGAACTGCATGGGGACAAAACTGCACAGCTTGCTTATTTGCTTCCTAAAGTTGCTCTGATGTGGCTCAGGTATGTATATCCTTTTCCTTGAGGACTCTTAGGGTATGTTTGAAGAGGACTGCACCTTTTCTGACACAACTTGGAGGCTGCTAATGGTCATTGTATTGATTTAGGGAAGATTCATTTAAAAAAAAAAAAAAAAAAAAAACAAGCCAGCCCCCTAATTGTTGGTGTTGGTTTCATAGATTAAAGTAGTTTCAGTTTGTATCAAATACAACTGCCAAGCTCTTCTCTATTAAAGGGGAAGATTCTGGAAGTTTAGTTGCAATTTCCTGGTGCAGAACTTGTAGCTGAATCAAATTTCTGTGAATAATACAGCAGTTAACGAGCTAAATGTTGTGAAATTAAAACAAAAATTATATAAAATGTAGATTTTATATCCCATCAATTTTACTTCTAAAGTGTATATACAATATAAAAAGAATATTTTGAAAAAATAGTTTTTGTTTTCTCTATGTAACAGTTTTGTCCTATTACAAAAACTGGAGTTGTTGTCACATTGATTTGTGGAAGAAGCCCTTTACAAGAGGGGGAATGGTAAAATATTTAGGAAAATGAAGTTGTCATTAGGGCTTGTGGAAACAAGATAGAAAGACTAACAGACTAGTTTTCCAGTAGGGAGAAAATCCAAAAATGCTGAATTTATTATTTCCCTATGGTTTGCCTGGGAAGAACACTTAACAGAATCTCATTAAGCTGAAATGGTACAATTCTAAGTGACCTTGTAATTAAAAATTGATAGCTGTATCATGTATAGACTTGGATAGGATTTACAAGAGCATTTCTTGAACAATATTTCATAATGTTCATGCTTATGCCACATATAAAACTTTCATCCAACTGAAAATGCCAGAGAAATTTGAGACAGTCAGGATTGCTTCTTCCTTTTTAATATTCTTTTGTTTTGCTGGAGGATTATTTGGAGTTTTTTGCTCTTGGTATTAGCGCTTTTCTACTTTTACCCATAGTCTCTCCGTCTCACGCTCAGTATGCTTGAGGTTTGGGTTTTGGTAGGAGGTTTTTTTCTGTGATTTTTTTTTTCCCCTTCTCATAACCTACCTTATTTTTAGGTACTGTCATCTGTAGGCAATGCATTTCAGGGGCAGCAAATGTCGGATCCAAATTTCTGCTTTGGATAGGTTTCCCAAACTAAAGATGCCAGCACCTCTCTTGCACTTCACTGTGTAGTATGCACTAGTTAGGTTTCCAGACCTTCATTCCTTCATCTTCTTTGGTACAATCATTAACAGCTCTAGGTGGTTATGTCTTATGTTTGACTACTTCTGATGCCTCTGTAAGACCTCATGCTTAGGCCGCAACATGCCAGTATTTTCTACAGCGGCTGATATTTACTCTTTTCTTATACACAGAGCTAAAATTCTTCGCAAGTCATTATTTTGCAAGTTGGCAAATGTGTTTTTTTTTCAGTGCCTTTGGCAAATGCAAATTTGTCTCACTCATCTACTGAAAGCACTGCCATGAATCCATTCTTCTTGTTTATTGTACTGCTGTGTACACATGTGACTTCTTCATGTAGAAAAATACTTGGTGAAAATCCTTCTCAAAATGGTGTGCTTCTATTGGCCTGGTTATATTTGTTTCTAAGATCGATGGAGAGTGTAAAAATCCTTGTGACTGGAGTCCAGACTTAGAAAGATCTAGTTGCTTCCTGTAACCTTGAGTGGCTGACTGACTTATTACGGTGTTAAACCTTGACGGGAAGCTAAGTAGGACTGGTTTGAGA